TTTGGATAAACTGAATTGACAGTGCTGTCACTCTAGCTTAACATCGCTTGTGGGATTGGAGTGCTGACATTTCAGGGACTCCCCATGCCTGCATTCACACCTGCCTCTCCCTCCTACTTATGCTGCCATAGCCATATCTGCCGGGGCTTGCACATTGCACTCCATATTGCACTCACCTAACTTTTAGCACTGCCTACAGTCTCCCCTACTTTGACTAATTGCATATTTTATTTCCCCTACTCCTCCTGGGGGGTGCTGCCTGGAAACCTCAATCTATCAAGATGTCCAGCACACCCTGCAACATGTGACGTCACCACTACCAATGACGTCCGTGCATCCAGATCGCCGTTATCTTCCATGCATGACCATCTTCCATGTATGACCCGCTGCCTGCCTTCTGGTTGCCTGGCGATTGGAGGGAGCATTGGCACCGGCTGTCATCTCCGCCCTGCTCCCCTTTGTGTTTCAAATTTTACTGTATTTGACTCTCCCTGTCGGCCCCTGGAGTCTGGCCCCTCCCAAGGTTTCTTCCTTCTTTTTCCTTGCCACTGTCGCCTATGGCTTACTCACTGGGGGCTTTGGGTGGGGATGCTGTAAAGCGCTTTGAGACGATGTAATGTTGTGATAATGCGCTATACAAAAATAAATTTGTTTGTTGTTGTTGTTTGTAGTTCCTCGGAGGCTGTTGCAGAATGTCTTTTTAGTCCCTACTGCAGATGAGATACTTTTCATTTGAACACAAAGTACTGGGGAGGGGTTTACAGCATTAAATAGAAGAATGGTTGACCACAAGCACTGGTGCTTGTCATATTTTTGACAATCCTGCAACACACTCCAAAAAAGTTGGGACAGAGGCAAAATAAAACTGAAAAGGTATCAATTGCATGCAACAATTTCTAAATTTGTTTATGTTTAACAAATAGAATTGTTTGTGAAAACACTGAAAATCATTTCTTTGTCCCTTTGCCTGTTAAATAAAGGTTCAAGTGAAATACCAAATTACAGATTTTATTTGTTATTGCCGTTTTAGAAAGTGTGCCAACTTTTCTGGAAATGGGGTTTGTAAACTTACCTTGCCCTTCTCCTCCATCAAATTCGCTGTGAAACTCTATCTAAATGTTTTTAGCTGTGAATTCTAGGATTTGCTGTAGCTTCACAACCAAAGTTCTAGTTTCAACCAGGAAGGAATACTACAGGTCTCTATTAATCTTTGCTCAAACTATTTTAATGCAAGTTTAATGCAATAAAAGTATATTTTAACAGAAGGGTATTTTTTCATCCTATGTTCTGTTTGAAAATACATATACTGTCAAAATAATATACTGTCAAAATTCGATGTTCCACCTAGCACGAAAAAATATGACAAATTTCCTTTGCAATACAAAATGCTAGCATGGCCAGGGGGTAGGGTATCCAATCAACAACAGATTAAAAAAGGGGCTCCTCTCCTTAACAGAGTTTTTGTATCCTCTCCTCACAAATGTGTTGTGAATGGTACTATATAAAAAGTAATTTAAGTAATACTGTCCTAAAAAATATAAAGAATCAAATTCATAGTCTGCTGAACTAAGCAACAAACATGGCTTCTTGGCACTGAAGCATGACACCTTTGATCTCTACAGACTCAATGTAGAACTGGCCTGCATGTTTTACATTTAAAACTGCTCCAATTTGAAGTTAAGAAAAGTTAAACATTTCTCTATTACGTGTGACATATCGGAGTGCAGTTCATAAAAAAACTGTATGCAAACTATGTAAATGTTCAGGAATTTCACATCATTTTCTACAGCCCTGGAGCCTGTACCAGTAAATGTTTTTAAGTTGTTTAATAAATTAATAAATTCTGAATCTGAGTGTAGGTTATTATTTTACTCAAACTGCCTATATAAAAAACGGCTACAAATTTGGTTTGGCAATTGTGGTTTTAAAGTGGTTTTAAAGGCAGGTAAGTCATAAAACCAAAAGTAATTAATGCTTCTTCCTTCTAGTTTGAGCCATGAGCACTGTCCCAAGACAGTTTACATTTCTTTTGAGTTGTTTTTTAATAGAGGGTTTTAATGTATTGGTTCAAGTTTCCATATTTAATATGAAAAAGATTTAAATAAAATCATTATAATGTTACATAACGGTAAAAGACATGTAAAAAAAACATTTAAATGAAGATAAAAGAAATAAAGGAATAAAAAGGAACTGTTGTTAATAAGTATTAATTTAACCATACAAAAGGACTAATTAAATGCTGAAGTAAAAAGTACTGCTTTGAGTCGTTCCTTATCTGATGAATATAGAGAGTCGTCGAATTTCTAACCTTTGGATCATAAATAGAAAGTCACTTCATAGATTTTCTTGTGCTTAACCCTTGGAATGTTTAGCATATAAGCACTTGAAGATCATAAAACTCAATGTGAAACATTGAGTTTTATGTAAGAAAATACTACGTCTGAAGAATTCCACAATTTTTACAATATCATTTTTATAGTTACATTTTTACTCACCTTAGCTCTTTGGAAATGCAGGTCTCACAAAAACGGTGTCCACACTCAGTTTGTCTTGGGTTACACAGTACTAAGTGACATGCCTCACAGCAGTACTTTGGCTCTGGAGGGAAAACAAAGTGATCCCTGAAACCTCCCTGCAGAGGCTGAAATCCAGGCTCAGTCCAGGGTCTCTGGACAATGGAAGGAGCACGGGGTTGGGGAGGGATCTGTAGCTCTGGCACATCCACATTCCGGCCTGCTGACATGACCTGAAACACACAGGGGAGGAAAATGCTACAATGTACATACAAACAACCTATGACAGAACGAGGTGGTATGCTTATTTATTTCAACATTTTCTACAAGTCACACAAAAAAGATGTTTGCTCCACACCCTAGTTTTTCCCCCAGACATTCACCATTCATACACAGTGCTTCAGAACTTTAGCAATATCTAACATTGATATATGTGACAGAAATGTATAAAGCAGGTTAACAATGGTTATACCTTTAAATATGCTTATGTTTAAAAGTCAGTGGATGTGGTTCCCCCAAATAGTTTATACACCGCCCTCCACAATTATTGACACCCCTTGTAAAGATTTGTAAAAAAGGTTAGAAAAATCCACCTTTTGGTGAAGCAGCTTCATCTCACACTGAAAAATTTAGAAACATCCAATACATTTACAATACATTTATTGAAAGATAATTATTCCTTGATGAAGGATTTGTTTATCTTTAACAAAAGCACATGTGCCACAATTATTGGCACCCCTGGAAATTATAGTGAACACAATGTAACTGAAGCATGTTTCCCTTGTAAATTGTACATTTTTCAGTTCAGTGGAGTGAATAGGAACCTTCAAGCTGTAATCCATGAATTACATGGATATGAACAGGGATATGAACATGAGGTGACACAGAGCCCAAATTCCCTTAGTCATCCATCAACATGGCAAAGTAAAGAGAACATACAAACCAAATGAGGGACAAGTGTGTTGACCTTCATAAGTCAATTGGCACCCCAGCATTTAATATTTTGTACAACCTCCCTTTGCCAGTATAACAGCACTGAGTCTTCTCCTATAACATTATAAGGTTGGAGAATACCAAGCAGGGCATCCGAGGCCATTCCTCTTTGCAGAATTTCTCTAGATCATCCAGGGTCCAAAGCCATCTCTTCTGGACTCTCCTCTTCAGCTCAGCCCACAGGTTTTCAGTGGGGTTCAAGTCAGGGGACTGACACAGCCATGGCAGAAGTTTGATTCTGCAGTCAGCTACCCATTTTTGTGTTGATCTGGACATGTTCTTAGGATCACTGTCCGGCTGGAAGATCCAATGATGGCCTAGTTTTTGTTTCATGGCAGAGGCAGCCAAATTTTGATTTAAAATGTCCCAGTATTTCATGCCATGTACCCTAGTCCATAATGCCATGTACCCTAATGAAGTTTCCAGGGCCTTTGGAGGAAAAACAGCCACACAACATCACAGAACCTCCACCATATTTTGCATTTGGGATAAGGTTAATTTCATTATAGCCATCCTTCTTTTTACGCCAAACCCACCTTATGTTTATTGCTAAAAAGCTCCATTTTTGTTTCATCAGACCACTGAATTTGATTCCAGTCAAAGTTGTAGTTGTAGTAGTGTTTCGCAAACTCCAGGTGCTTATGTTTGTGGTTAACTGACAGAAAAAAGTTTTTCTGGCATACCTTCCAAATAATCTGTTAGCATGAAGCTCTGATAGTTTTTTCAGAGACGTGGTAACCCCAAGATTTCACTTGGTCTTGTAATTCACCAGGAAATCCTTGGGGATTTTTTGCCTCTCTTATGATCCTCCTCACTGTACGTGGGGAAAATAAAGTTGGGTCCTCTTCCTGGCAAATTAGTAACAGTTCCAGTTGTTGTCCACTTTTTTATTATTGCCCTAACAGTAAAAATGGGCGTAGAAACAATAGAAAGGTGAGTAGCTATTTTTTTAATACCCATTCTCTGACTTATGAAAATCAACATACTTCTCCCTCATTTGGTTTGTATGTTCTCTTATCTTTGCCATGTTGATGGATGACTAAGGGAATTTGGGCTCTGTGTCACCTCATGTCCGTATCCCTGTTAACCATGAATTCATGGATCACAGCTTGATGGTTCCTATTCACTCCACTGAACTGAAAAATGTACAATTTACAGGGGAAACATGCCTCAGTTACATGTCCAGGGGTGCCAATAATCGTGGCACATATATTGTCGTTAAAGATAATTATTTCTTGATGAAGGATTTTTTTTTTTTTATGTTAATGAAAGGTTGGATTTTTCTCAATTTTCAGTGTGACATGAAGCTGCTTCACTAAAGGGTGGATTTTTTCTAACCTTTTTTACAAATCTTTACAAGGAGTGCCAATAATTGTGGAGGGCGCTGCCTGTGTTGCACTAATTTCTCAATGTTATGGAAATTGTTCTTACAATGGTTTCATAGAGGCATCCTGAAATATTTCCTTTAAAATTTTCAAACTGACTGGGAAATACCAGTTGTTTCTGAATATGTATATAGCTGCACATGTCAGCTGTCAAACCAATTAGCTTCATTTTTAGCACAGAGTTGATTTGTGTTTCTTGCTGAAAAATGTATATAGCAACAAGGGCTGCAAAAAATTATTATGGTGATAAATTATTAACTGTGTGATCAGGCATTCAACTAATGGATTAGGTGGGTCAAAACACAGGGATTTTGCAAATGCATTATTAAAACAAACAGAGGCATTTTTTAAACTTTACACAGTGGAGAGAATCTAGGGGTGTAAGTACACAAAACTCATGGTTTCATACACACTTCAGTGTTCCTTAAAATTTGGTACAGTGAGGAATTTATTTTGAAACTGTTTATCACTAAAACAGCAAACAATTCGGAATGGTTATAAAGAAAACAAACGGCAACGTGCCTGTTGACGCGTCTCAATAACTATACCCAAGAGACGCTCATTTTCACTGACTTTCCTGGCAGAAGTGCTTCAAAAGCCACGGGACTAACTTGCAGGTGCTGCTTCTGCTTTGCTTCAGTTCTACACACATTCGTCCCAAACCAGTTGGCATTTTAGATGTGTTTCAAGCATCATATCTGAGTTCAGCACAACAAAGACGACAGTCTTGGTATTACAATAATAATAATACTTTATTGATCTCTGTGGTGAAATTCTCTTTATGACTCTCCCAACTTGCTCTCTGTAGATGAGAGCAAACTGGCTGTGAAGGGCAGCCACCTGTTGTGGCGCCGAGGGAGTAGGGGATTAAGGCCTTGCTCAAGAACAGGCACAGAGGCTTAGCCCACTGAGTCACACACTGCCTTCCTTCTTCTTCATTATTATTAATAATAATAATAATTAAATAATAATCCATGGTGTTAGAGTAATTCACTGTGAAACCAAAATATTCCCTAAATACTGATTTAAGTGACATGGGACTTCAGGCTTTCCAGCACTTGCTCTAACCAACTCACGGCCACAATTACCATAGTGTTTTGTGTTGAACATTTACTTGAGGATATAGGTTTCTCTAGTGTCAAAATACAGGTTTATTTGTTTTACTGTATGTACTAAACATACAAAATGTTGTAACAGAATGGCACACAGCAAATACAAGTATCGTTACTGCCCTAAGAGAAGCTGTTTTACATATCAGTTTAACAGGATACTGACCTCTTTGATGATGCAAGATTAAAGTGTTTCCATTCTTTTGATGTTTTAGTCTCATAACAACCCTCTACAGACGACCCCACTGCCTCCACCATATTTAGCTTGCTAACAATTGTACTTAATAACAGCAAACTGCAAAAATGCAACATTCACAACATTTTTACCACCAATTATTATGGATATTATCAATTAGTCGTTGTGGTCCTACCCGCAACCAATTGTAATATATTATTAACTATAATTATTTTTATTCTTTGAATATATGGAGAAGTTCAAAAATGTATCTTGTTTGAATAACTAGTAAATATATAATAATGGCAGAAACAATTTATAAAACCAACTGCAGTTTGTATACAAAGCCAGGAAAGGTTGTTGTCATGAAAATGTAGATGTACATATAGCTGGTATATAATGATGTATGGATATATCATCCTTTTGTTAAATTCTTCCTACTTTCGAGTCGCTAAATTGTGACACAAAAAAGGTCAGCCAATTTTCCCCAAGGAGAGGTCATTGTCTTTAAATACCGGATAAACACAGAGTTGAACTGTTCTACGTGGTGGTATTGAAGGGACTTTTCCTTCTGTGCATCATCTTTGTTCCAGCCTCCTCCCCAGCTGTTGTCAACCAAAATCAAAACTCAAATACTGAAACTAAAATACATCTCAAAACTATCAACCAGTTCATGTCTGCCACTTAGTGGGTAAGAATTAAAGTTTGGTGCCCAATCCAGTAAATCTGAAAACCGTCAACGGGAGAATTCTGAAGTTTGTTTGAAGAGCAAATATGTGGAATTTTCCCATTAAATACCCAAAGACAAACAACCAAAAAAAAGTAAGAAGAGAAACTGAACACTATATGCCTTTTAAAAATGCCTGGGCAGAGAGAAAGAAAATCTGAGTTATTATTATGTAAGGATTTTATCATTTAAAGTACATGTGCATAGTATTGTGCTGTAAAGTAAAAAGTATACAATTAAATCTTGTGCCCACCCATCATGGGCTGCTGACTGCTGCAGAAATCAACATTAAAGCATTTGCCTTAAAAAAGCATTATACCCTACAATTAAAATGTTAGTCCAAATAATCTGATCCACAACTGTTCTGATGAAAAACTGAGTTAATGGTTGTTTCCATAAATGCTTCTAGAGCTCATCTTTTCGGCAACATTGAATTCAATAGCAAAAGGGATTTCCAACAACTATCAAAAATATTTGGCTTTACCTGCACAATTACTTTATTAATGCGTTTCGAATCTAAGTATAAATATATTTTCTTACAAAATATTAATAGTAAATTCGCTATTGACGATGGAAAGCTAAAATTCGTTTTAAAACATTATGAAATCAGTAAAAGAACAACTGTTTACGGGAAACAAAGAACTAAACTGAAAAAGTATGTCCAGATTGCACTTCAAATAACGTGTGTGCGAACATACAACATAACTAAATTTAAACACCAACTGGATAGATTACGAGACTATCAATATTCATTGTAATTATTCTTATCTTAATATAACAAACGTAACATTACTGATATTGTTAAATACAAAATAAGCAGATACATTGGCGTAGTACTTACATGAATCAAACATAAACGTCGTGAAATATATCCCCGCCAGTCCTTCAATAATTTTTTAAGCAAAAAAAGAGCTTTAGATACTCAATCCAAGAAACTATAGCGCGACAAAATTAGGTTTACAGGCCATGGATTATAAATTATAGGGCGTTATCAATTTTGCGGTGCAACAAAGTAAGATATCTGTAGAAATATTTTATAAAAGAAAGTGGAACACATGTTGCCTTCAGAATGAACAGTACATACATGTCTCTGCTGCTGATGTCAGGTCTAAACCGATGGAAAGCCCCTTTGGTCTTACTTCCTTCGGAAATCCCCGTCTAAGAAAAAAATGCAGCATGTCATAAGCCCGCCCAGCGCCTCCGTGCTGCATTTAGAAAGGCGGCGGCGTTTGTTGTGCGACGTAGTGACAACTATCCTCATTTCAAATTAACTACAGTGACGCTTACGTAACGTATTCCAGGTAGTTGCTTCAATGTACTGGGGAAATAAAAATAATGTATTACAATTCCGTAATTAATCATATATGCATGATATAGCAGACTGCTAATGTGACAGTGAAAACTAGAACTAATACGACATAATTCACGTACGTTGTTCGACAACTCGTGTTTAGTTTCTTTGTCTATTTTAATGTATGCAGTTAGTACATATAGTGATTTCGTAAAATGTATACAATTTGAAATACTAACAACAATAAGAATTTCGCTTACACTGACGTACAACATATTTTCTTAATAGCTGCTATGTTTGTTTTGAAAACCTTTCCTTTACATTTAAACGACTATGTAATGCGCACTCCAGCTCAGTAGGTGGAGGTATACATGTTGCAAGTGTTTCCAATCGATCACGAAACGAGTAAAAGAGGAAGCAGAAGCTTAAACCCGGACGTTTATTTGAGTGCTTGCATGGAATAGCTGATGTTTCTTCGACAATGTAAATGATTCGTTGATGATTTGACAAATGATGGACTGCTGTACAAGGTGATTTGTGAGACGTGATTAGGAATTAGATTCTTTCCCTCTGTTGAACAGCAAGATAATTGTAATGTGAATTATAAATCCATTTTTGATTGAAGCTTATTAATTTAATAGTATTGTGGTTACTATCATATTAATCTTGGCAGGTATATGTTTGTGTGGTGCACCCAAATTGGTGCAACCACATTTGGTGATATATGTACTTATAAACAGTAAAACGTTTTATGCCTTTAAATTAGGACTAACATCTTGTGGAATGCAGCGAATTATTATTTGTCATTTAGCAGGACATCCTGTAATGAAAGGAAAAGGAGGGGAATAATGAATTAATAATGCAGCGTAGGGGGGACCGGAACCTTTAATGCGGTTGTTATTCGTTCTCGGGTGCGTATACTGACGGGACCTCTGGTTTCCGGTCAGACATTTTTTATTTTTTTTTTATTGAACAATCATTCATATACAAACAACTCGGCAAAATCAAACACCTTTATATTACTACAAATCAGGTGCATACAAAAATAAATAAATAAAATAAAACGGATAGAGAAAAGAAAGAAAAGAAATAAAGAGAATACCTCCATACAGGGGGGCTAGAATTTCTCTTGTAAATCATATTCTATAATAATTGAAAACAAATTTACAGCATTTTTACCTTTCATCACCTTTAGGGCTTTTGTATATAGAATAAACTCATTATGAAATGCACAAAATGATGGTTTTACTTTCAAGTATTTAGACTTATGTATATAAAATTTACCCAACATAAGGACGTTATTTACCAAAAGATCATCTTTACTATTATTCGTTACAAATCCATAGCTAATGTCCTTTAAGGTGAAGTTATCAAGGTTCCGTACCTTTTAATAAAGCCAGTCATGGATGTCCAACCATAATGCCTCCACATACATACAATGAAAAAACAAATGATCTGTAGTTTCAATATCATCACAAAATATACATTTGTTAGTATCAAATCCAAATCTAAGTCTTAAGCACTCATTGGATGGATATATTCCATTTAAAATTTTAAAATGAATTTCTTTAATTTTGGGAGATAAGGGAAAATTTAAATATTTAGTTCTAAGACTATGAATGGTATCCTTTTGGAAATAACAATAAATTGAATTTCTATAAACTAAGCTAGGATAGGAGATATTGTTAAATATATTTCTAATATTTTTGTTTGATAATTTACCTTCTTTGAATTTACAGCCTTCAATTACCAGTGAAGGTAAACTTAAGGTCATGGTATTATAATAAAGGAGAGTCTCTTTAATCAGATTTATAATGGAATTAGGGATAGCTTTAACAACTGATTCAAATTTAGCCCAATTACAATTAAAATATTTAATACAGAAACTCTCATATGATATAACACCACTCTTATCCATTAAATGGAACACTGACCAAATGCCTTTCTCCATCCAATCCTTATCATACAATGATTTGTTTTTAAATGTAATGTACCTATTATTCCAAAGTGGTGTATTGTGTGGTGTGAAATTATGGTTGTATAAAATCTTCCAATATAGCAAGACTTGCTGGTGAAACTGAGATAATTTAATTGGGAGACGTTGGACATTAAAATCACATCTTAATAGAAACTCTATTCCTCCTATTTTTTTAAATAACTCTCTAGGGATATGAAACCAAAAGCTGTTTTGATTTAAAAGGGATTTCAGATAATTAATTTTAAGGGTCCCATTTATAGAATCAAAATCAATAGCTTGTAAACCTCCATCTTTATATTGTTTTATCATATGTACTTTTTTCATATAATGGGTCTTCTTTCTCCAGATATAACCAAAGTTCATCTGATTAATTTTTTTGATGGCTCTATTTGAAATAGCAATTGTGTAAGCAGGATATATTAGTCTTGAAATACTTTCCAACTTCGTCAAAAACACCCTACCCTACAGACTTATATCCCTCAACAGCCAAGAGTTGAGTTTAACTTGACATGTATCTATCGTTTCCCACACATTCATAGGTTCATTATCAGACGAATCTTTTGAGATAAGCATTCCTAAATATTTGACTTTAGATTTTATAGGAATGTTATAAGCAGCAGTTAAGTGACATTGATGGATAGGCATTAATTCACATTTGGTCATATTAATTTTTAAACCAGAGGCTTTAGAAAAAATGTGAATAGATCGTAGTATTTTGGGAACCTCTGATAATTGCTTCAAAAAAAAAGCAGTATCATCTGCAAATTGACTAATGATTATAGACTGGCCAAGTATCTTTATTGGAGCTATTTTAGAGCTCTTAACAAAGATGGAAAGCATCTCTGTGCTTATAATAAACAGAAATGGAGACAAAGGACAACCCTGCTTTATACCACGATTAATGGGAAATCTGGGTGAAGTACCTCCTGATAAAGAAACCGAACTATTAGAATCTTCATACAATGACCTTATAATGTTTCTAAACTTATCTCCAAAACCAAACAAACTTAAACAATCAAAAATAAAGGGATGCTCAATTGAATCAAATGCCTTGTAAAAGTCAATGAAGAGAATAAAGCCACTGTCTTCTATTAGATGTCTGTAATCCAAAATATCAAACACCAAACGAATATTATTGTGTATAGACCTTCCCTTCATAAAGCCAGACTGAGATTCGCTTATAATTTTGTGTAAAAACACTTTCAATCTATTAGCGTATATAAGGGCTACAATTTTATAATCCGTGTTTAATAATGTAATTGGCCTAAAGTTATCCAATATTTTGGGGTCCTTACCAGGCTTAGGAATTAAAATTATTGTCCCTTGTTTCATGGTGGATGGAAATGACATCTTTTCTGTTGCTTCTCTTAACATAAACATAAAAGGTTTTTTAAGTATGCTCCAAAAGTGTTTATAAAAATTGGCAGTAAGGCCGTCACATCCTGGAGATTTGTCTAAAGATAAACTGCCTACTGCTTTATCTAATTCGTCAAAGGTTATGTCTGCGTCACACAGTGTTACAAAATCATCATCTATAAGGGGAATGAAGTCTTTAATATATTCAAAAAAGGATGTTCTATCATCCATAGAAGGGGTTGATGAATATAGATTACTATAAAAAGAAACAACTTCCTTAGTGATTGAAGCTTGATCAGTGACTACCTGACCCTGAACTAATAAGGATTTAACTGAAAGCCTCTCTTGCCTTCTTTTTTCTAACCGACAGAAATATGATGTACTCCTTTCCCCCTCCTCAATCCATTTAGCCCTAGACCTGATGTAAGCCCCTTCTGCTTTATTAAGATAAATTATATCAAGTTTGTTTAAAAGACCTTGTAACTTCTGTTTTTCATTATCTGTAGGTGATTTTTTGTTATAATAGACATTTATTTCTTTAATCATATTAATTTCAGATAATCTCTTATTTTTTATTCAATGTTTTCCAAAAACAAATTGAATATTCCCTAATTTTAAATTTAAGAAATTCCCATTTAGAGATGTATGATACTATTGAATTATCAGACATCACCTCAGAGACCAAGGCCCTAATACCCTCATTAAATGACTGGCATTTTAATAAACAAGAATTGAATTTCCAATACCCTTTATTTTGTCGACTAACACCAGGAGGTTTAAAAATCAATTTAATAACTGAATGGTCAGTAAGAGGGGCTGCTGACATACAGCAGTCACTAACAAGATTCATGGTAGAAACTGAAATGAACCAAAAATCAATTCTTGACTTTACTACACTATTTGGTTTAAACCAGGAGTATTGTTCCATATTGGTATATTTAAATCGCCATGGATCCAATAAATTGTGAGTACGACAAAAATCCGTTAAAACAGGGTTGTAAGAAGAACTTTGACCACATCTGGAGGGATATCTATCAAGACACTCATCACTAACCATTAGGGGTGTAACGATTCATTCATTTTCTCGATGCATCGATTACAAATCCTGCCGATGCATATGCATCGATCTTGAAACATGGATTTTTGAATCGTTTGTTTCAGTCAATAATCGATTTAATATTTTAAAATCGAATGAATCGCGATTATATAACGAATATACGATGGATAATTAAAAAAAATAAATATAAATCTTTAAATTAGTTGCGTCTGCGACGTAAAGTGCGCCCTCACTGCAGTGGCGCAGTGGATTACGTCGCTAATCTTCAATTCGCGCCTGTTTGTTGTCAT